ATGATTAAAACAAAAATCTGGAATCACTGTAATAAAAGTAGAATATCAGTGTATTATTTTGATTCTGTGGTAAACATAGCACAAAGAGAGCACTTTCAGTCACACTGGGTCACACTGATTTCTCCACTGAGACAGAACAAGCAGCACACTTCAGCATTCCAGGGGACCCCTGCAGGTGAAAAAGGCCTCAGAGCCACAGTCATGCTGCTGCCTACAGCAACTGCCTGCTCTGCTTCTGAAGAGAGACCTGACTGGTCCTGTGACTGAGGAATACACAAGGACTACATTAGCCTCTTCAGCCTTGCCCGGCCGTGTGCATCGCTGCTGCACTTACGATGATCAAAGTATGTAGCTTCTTAGTAAGAGCAAAAATAGGAATAACTAGATATAGGTGAAAATTTATGGTTATGTTTGTTATGTATATAAGTCTATGAGATAGTATGCAGACTGAGAAAAATAATAGTGCGAGCTGTACAGTACAGGAACTGAGAGGTAGAATTCAGTAATCATTTGCAAAACAGTTATTCCCCAAGCCAATTATTATCTATTCATTTTAATTATTAGTGGATAAAAATAACAGGTGGCACATTAGGAAGTACCTGACTTCCCAGCAATTAAACAATAGCATTACTGTGTAGAATAGTAATGCTGCTATGTTCCTTCTGAAGGTGAGACCTCAGGCTTTTTAAGTTCCGAAGAGGTGCTACAGCCATAATTATGGCAACAATTGTATTTAGAAAAATGGGGATATACAAAACATATAAACTAAACTGGAGGGCACTAGTTCCTAATTCACTGAACAGTTCTGAAGATGTCATAATATTTAGGGACACGGAGTATCATACATGCAGCGTCTCTTAGATGAAAGATAATGCTCTCTTTTCCACACAGGAATTAATTTGACATACCTTAATTGTACGCAGTTGGTACTGTGATATAATGCACTTTCCAGTAATGTAATTTAAGGCAAGTTAGCATTATTATAGGGAATAGATTCAGGGAATCCATGCTTCCACCCTTGCACATCATTAATGATTTCATCTTTTTCAAGAAACGTACATCCAATGACTGCTTATTCTAGCCCACAAAATATTTACAAAGATGCATCAGGTTGTTAGGATTTTCACTTACTTAGCAAAGAATCATGCAAAAGGATGATTCCTTTAGACTATGTTTTTAAACCATATTTTTATTTGTAAACATTCACCTAGTGTCAAAGAGTAACACACGTTCTTCAGCATTAGAAAAAACTCTAATCACTGAAAATCTGTAAATTATTACATTTCTGTTATGTATGGGAAACTGAGTCAAAAGAGGACTGTGTTACTTACTCAAGTATAATCCAAAAGTCAGTAGCAGAGCTAGAAGTGTAAGAACAGACTAAAACTCCAACTATAGTCAGTAAGTACTTTCCATTGTCTCAATTAATAAATTTGGTTACAAAATTTAATGCAAATACATTAGTCAACAGAGTATGTAGAGTAGAAAGGAATTACTCTGAAGTAGGCAAGACATGAAATAGCTGCCTTTTCAGAAGCACATTCTGATCAATCAAATGAATAGGGATTTGTTCACTTTTTGATCTGTTTAAGTGAATGTCTTCACTGCAGCGTTGCTGTTGACTAATGTGGCTTAAAATGATTTGCGTGAAATGACTTTGTGCTACCTTTGTGCATTACCCTTTCAAAAATATGACTAATATATAATATTACTCATATTACTGAGTAAGCGATAATATTTAAAAGAAACCAACAAACCTCCATCATTTTTTTTTGAATGCTCCATTTTTGTGACGGTGCTGACAATCCTGATGTCAGGCAGCAGAATGACACCTCTTTCACTTTCAAATTGTGCAGCTGGTCTAGAAAAGTGGTCCATCCCACTTATTGTAATCTTGGGCTCATTGGCCTGAAGCACCATTACATATGCATCGATATCTGGGATATTAATGCAGACATCTTCACCAAAACATCTGAAAAATATGTTATTAACTGGATGTAACACATTGCACATCAAAGGTGTGTGGCACTTGCATCGTCTAAAATCCACCTGATGCCTCTTAATATTTTTTTTATTTTAATTTTATTATTTCAGTCAATTCCTTACTTTGACACTGTTAAGTAAGGACATGCATCAGTACCACATGCATCTGTAGATCAGCTAGCAGTAACAGCTCTGTTCCTTCTATCCCTACCCAGATTCACAATTACTGAAATTACAAAGAGAGGGTTAAACAAGGAGCTTTGTGACAAGCTTTATCTTTAGTAAGGTCTCTGTAAGAATAATATTTTGACATTTAACTGACATTTAACAAAGAAGTGCACAGTTAAAAAAATAAAATTAACTGGATGATGACAACTATGTATCGGAAACCTAACTTGAAATTCTCAAAGTGGTATCTAGTGAACATAATGGGGTATCTTGTCATGTGTGACTAAAAGGGCCTCTAATGACCTGTTTATATTGGACCTTTCATGGACACATTCTGGCATTCCCTAGTTTTTAGGGGGACGTATAATAGCATTTTTGTTTGAATCAGCACCGTGCTTTTAAGTTAATCTCCAAACACTCTACCTTACAAGCATGTTTGCATAGATCAAGGACAGCTCTGGGGTGTGCAAGCTGAACTCTATCTCAGTGACATGAAATCAGAAGTTGTTCTCCATAGTGTGGTCAGCCCACAGCACCAGAGTAAACCAAGTAAAGAACTGTACACAAGGGGTATCTGTCACTAGCTGGTTCTCTCTCTCAAAACCTGCTCTCAGTACTCTGCCCAACTTCTTGTAACAGAGAGGTACCCCTGGGAGCTCAGGAGTGGCAAATGGTTGTTTTACTACACAGAACTATAAACATTATTATGTAGGTTCTGTTACAATTTTAGCATGAAAATGGAAGGACAAAGATTTTTGTTCAACACCAAACACCAATGCTTCTGTGATGTCAGCCACAGAAGGATATAGACAGACAAAGACAACTTCAAGCGTAGTTATAAATGCACTTGCAGCTATGTAGTCTGTAAGAAGTAACAGGCCTCCTTTAAAAAACGTGGCTCTATGTATACTAGAAGAAACTATAACTATTTTTTTAAACGATCGTTGAAATAGTTATGCAATAAATGCATACACTCCCCAGTCCAGATTGTATGCTCCAGACTATAAACAGAATGCAAGTAAATTACATTCAAAAGAAAAGTTTCTTACAAGGAAAATATCAAAAGAAAACCACAAAGTAAATCAGTACAAAAGTAATTGAAATTCATACTTTTTGCTCAATAACATCAAAATATGATTTTATAAGTCCCTTTTTTACTTGTCTGAAGAAAGAAATAATTCATTGAAAATATTTCTAATCAGATGAGCTGAATTAAAACTTACTGGACTTTAGAGGAGACTTTGAGACGTCGTACGCCTGCAGTAGGAAACTGTCTAGAGTTGATGTAAGAGACCTTTCGGAGAGCTTGATTTATATTCTCAATGTCGTCTCCTTCCATGACAAGGACTGACTGGGAAGGGTTGAAGTGATACTGGGGGAAATGCATATGATTAGTATTTAAGGTACCAGGTACACAGTACAAAATAAGACGTTTCTAATGAATGTTGCCTAGATGTAAGTTTAAAATCTAGTGATTTAAGGAAAAAAAACAACTCTTAGTTGCTGTTGTTGGCTGAATATGTATATTGTAGACCTGGAACATTTTTTGGGTAACCATCTATATAATATCTTCATATCCACTATACTAATTAATTTTACAGTAAATTTATCCAGATTTGTCGTATTTTGCCCAGTATTATCTACTTTGCTGATACCAATTCTGCAGCTGTACAGCTAGAAACATAACCTTACTGTTGTTATTATTAGTACTATATAATTTTTTTTTAGGTCATAGGCATTCCTCATATAAAAATATTGAATTCCATAAGAGCAGTATGCAGAAATATATTTTTCCTGCTTTCTACTTAATTTTACTCTGGACAGTCTTTCTGACATATATTTCAACATGATTGAACAACAACAAAAAAAAAATACAGTGTTTCCCTCCTACATCTTCATTAATGTCAGACAAAATAAAGGGGATTCTCCTGTCTCTGTCTCATGATCAATAAGGGTGTCATGATTTAAGATGAAACCGCTGCTTGCACAAAGCCAGCTGCTGATCTGAGCCAACAAACCTTGCAAAGACAGTGGCTATTCTTGTAGCCCTGATTATTCTCTATTCCATTGCATTGAACTCAAAGCAGTTCCGCTGACCAAGATATATCTGCATAGCAAGCAACTGATTTTTATCTTCAGCATGATTCATCCTGATTCCTTTTTTTTTTTTTCGTCTTATAATTGGTCCAGCAAACCATCTGCATTGCAGAAAAAGCAGATTAGCCCCCCTAATTTTGTACCCTCAACTGACAGCACAGAACACAAAGAAATGCACAGAACACAAGGAAATGCACCCTCCTCTCATATTGCAAGGCTGGGTATTGATTATATATATATATATGAGCATATTCTATTATGTACAGACAATGATTGTCTACATTTCCTTAAAAAGACAGGTTAAAAAGTGAGTAAATAGACTGTGAAGAACAAAACAAAGTGTAGGTTCTCCGTTCAACAGAACACAGAAGACTGGGTTCAAGGCTTGCACAGGAAAGTCATAACGCTCTGAAGGGTATTTTTTTAACAAAGAGGAGTCACGACATGAGTCACAGCCCGCATACACTTCTCTTTTCCATCTGCAAAAGAATAAAATGAGCAGAAGGAGACTCTAGCTAGCTAGTTAACTTAATAGCTCAGCTGCCAGAACAGCTGGAATGCTGCCAAAGGGATTGGAGAAAGCCCTCGTCTGAGCCATTTTTGTCTTTCTCATTAAAAAAGGCTAAAAATAGCAACAGTTTAGACAGCTTCTCTGAGAGCTGTTACAGATACGTGAAAATGAGGCTGCAGACAGAAAAAGTCCAATGCTGCTGTGTCAGGAACTGAATTACAGCTACACTGCTCTTTCCTAGGTGGGTGCATGGGTGAAGTGTGTCCAAAGTGCCCTGAAGAAATTCCTCCCAACATCAGTTTGCCAACACTGAATCTGCTAAGTACCATGTAAACAGCTATTATCTGTACAACTGTGAAACATGTTTATGTGAGATCATGTATGTTTATATTTGAACAACAAAAAAAGTATTAATTTTCTGTTGAAGTTCAGCTGCCAACTGTTCCACTTTTATCCAAACTTCTTTTTGTCTGCACTGATAAGAAATCCTACCACGATTTATCTCTGACTGCTCCTTTTGTTTTTGCCTCCTGCTGTTACACTGACTGTTGATCTGGCTGAGAAAGTAAAAATGAAAGCAGGAACATTAAAGAAATACCATGCATTATCTGTCCTTTGGAAAATGAAAATGTTTTGAAGATTATTGCAAAAAAGAAAAAGGAGGACAACAGTCCTTCATTTTTCCTACCCTGCTGCTAAACAGTAAGAAAACCAATCACCTGCACTGGGCAGCAGTGGGAGACATCCTGGAGTTTTCCAAGTTCATGAAAAAACAGACAATTCAAACACTCTTCTATTTCAAAATGTGAAAAAAGGGAAGAATTTCTATACTTTTAAACATCATGCACCAAGTATAAACTTCTTTAATTCATGTAAAACCCCAGCAAAAGAACTTACTGGCTTGCATATACAACTCAAGTTCCAAAAACCCATAGCTGCTCACTGCATGCACTGCCTATTTAAAATAGTTCCTCCTTAACTTTGCACCTTCAATTTGTATTTTTACCCTTGTTTTTAGAAACATATTGGTTGTAGTACTGTATTCAGGTGTAGTACTGTATTCTGTATATTATCACCCAGACAGATATTGAATTTTATTTTAGGTCAGTCTCCTTTCTGGTAAAACAAAAGGTTTAGCTAATGAAATGTATTAAAAGGCACCTCCAGTGCATAATGCAGATCAAGTGTTAAAGTTCCACTTTCCTCTGCCAGATTGCCAAATAACCTGTGCTGTTTCACTGACTACACAGTCTGCAGCCAAAATATCTTCCCAGTTACATGAATCAGAAGCTTAGCTCTTTCAGGAGAGGGTACTGTGATTTCTGTACTAGGAAATAGCTTACCTGTGTTACTTTAGGCGAGAGAATACCTATCATCTAACAGGGTCAGTATGGGACATCTTAAAATGAATTTTTTATGTAAGCACTGTGGCAGTAATAATCAAGATCCTACAAGTGTACCCAAAAGAAGAAAAGCTGTCTTAATGAATGCAAAGCCATCTGGCCACTACATCAGTTGACACAGAGTTTCTTACTCTCTGTTCTCCCATCTTAGAAAAAGTGCTAAAGAATCAGGGAAGACAGTCATATGTATAATATGGATGATAACAATGCGTATGAAAATGTTTAATTTTAATTTCTTGATTTTTTGTTATCTAGTTTTCCTCTTGGAGTCCACTCAGAATTTCTCAGACCACCTACACTGGAACTTCTTTTTGCCTTAGATGAAAGATATTCCAATTACATTTTGCATTGCTTTAAAGCTGCTTGAGTTCCAAAGAATTACTAAATTTTGATCTACATCTACTTCCACAAGACTATGAAAATAAGCATGAATGAGAACATGACTTGGCAATTCTTACAGGCCATGAAATTTCAGCACCTTACTTTCTGAGCATCTGCCTTGGTAATAATGGAAACATTTTGTTTTGCAGCATCATAGCTCTTCTAGTGTTCCACTTTTTCTTTTCATGACTTTATGGGAAATTACATTAGTTTTAGAAGCACGCTTGTACTGTGTGTACTCTACCTCTGTCCCTCCACTTCATAAATCATCTCTTAATTTTTATCAAGGACGATGTCAGTTCATTCCTTACCTTCACTCCCTGGCCAAGACTCTCAAGTGAATTAATATCCAGACCTTCCTTGCAGGCCTGCAAACAGGAAATCACTTTCTGACTCTCAATTTTTCCAGGACGGATAGTAAGACTGGCTAGGCTGCCGTGGAAATACTGAGCAAATCTAGGCTTGGTGACTTCACCTCCTGCAAGAAAGAAAATATAAAATGATTATTGTTATCGATATAGAAAACATAAATCAAATAATTCACGTTTTTTGGGGGCTGAAAATCAAGTTTCGCCAATTATTTCTGAAGTTCCATTTATTGCGCTAAGTAGAATTGCTTTGCAGGTTGTTGGATGGTACTAGCAACCTGTCTTTAAGATTCTTGTCAGTGTTCTTCTAGTACTGTATTCAGGTGCTTACAAAGCTGTGATAACATACTTTGAGACAAAAAATGATTTCCCAAATCTGTGCCCAATGAAGCAGAGCATTTTCAAAAATGAATTGAGATTATTGGAGTGATCAAACGTGAATTTCACAACATTTTTGAGGCCTTACTTATTTATGCAGAAACTGTACCTGCAAGTTCTCTACTACAAGTTCTCTTACACAGCCTTTATCTTTTTCCTCCGAAACCAGCTTTGACAGACCAAGATATGCTCTGTGTAAACAGTGCCTAGGTCTCTAGGAATACAGTATAAATTCAGAGCACTGACTGCACACTAATGTACAGCACTACGCTAAAAGGCTTACAGTATCTTAGCCAAGCCAGCTCATTTGGTGCTAGATGAGGTCCCATCACAGTACATTGCATTAGGCCCTCTAGCTATGCTCTATTCAGCTTCACTCTATGCAACTTCAAAGGAAGACTGATCTTTAGGAGTTGTCAATAAAATGTGATTATATACTGCCTGCAACAGTGATGATAGCATCTAAATTACTCTTGGGATATTTAATGATTTACTCATTCTCCTCTAAGATAGTTTTTACAGCCTGCTTTTCCTGCAAGCATTAGCTGAATTGGTGCTTGTGAATTGCTGCCTACCTTGAGCCTGAGAGGGACCAAGAAAGCCACGCAGTAGTGAAGCCGTGCAGACTAATTGCATTAGCAGTGGATAAGCTGCTGTAATTGTTAGATAACTCATCTTCACAGCGTTTGTAGCTTTAGTTCCCAGTAACCTATTTCTGCCTGGCAACATACCTCAGGCTTGAACTTTAACTTGAAGATTTGTGTGTGGAACAGTATTAGGAATAGGGGATAAAATGGCAACTTTAGTTGAGGCTGATGTTACTGCCTGAAAGCCATCTCTTTTAATCTGTGCAGTAAAAGCACAACTTTTTCCTTATGTAGTAAGGAAAATATACACTGTTGTGCTGAGAGTGAAGAAGGTGTCTAGGCATGCTTTTTCTTCACAGAAGCAGACATTTCTGTTCTTTTATGTTAAGCCTACAGTACAAACTGCTGCTCTTTCTACTTCAAAGAAAGACCCTCAGAGAGAAATTATGTTTTTTCCCTTCTTTCATTTGTCTGTCAGTTATACAGAAAACTTCTTCTGGGCCAAATTTTTTAGAGGTTTCATGGAACCTTTCACATCAGTTTGTTCTGTAATGTAGGCCTTATCAAGACAATTGGTAAATAGCTAGTACCCTACAGGGATGCCAGTTCTTCCCAAAAATGTCATTACATTTATGTATTTGAGTTGTCTTTAAAAGCATATATTTCCACTAATAATATAACAACAATGTACCTGATGATGACAAAAACAGGTGAAACCTTACAGGAGAAAGGAATCATTGCATTTGAAGCTTCTCATATCCTTAACATAGTTCTGAAGACAGCAAGCTCTAAGGTTAAAACCTTAGGTTTTGAAATTTAGAAACATACAGTAAAAGTGTGCCAGCAGGTCGTAACAGTTCTGATGAGATGCAAAATGAGAAGCAATCTCAGATAAGCTAATGTATTTAAATATGAAACTAGTTCCTTAAAATGTATGAAGGGATAGACAAGAAGCTAAAAGAATTTGGTGCTATAGCTATCTCTGGCAGTACAAGCAATATAAACCAGCTGAAGTGATCCTACAGAACTGCATGACTGCTGCTTACATCCATGCACAGCAATTTCAGGTAAATTTCAGGTAATAAACTCATTTATAATTTTTTTTTCAATTGTTATTTCATTTCAGACTAATTCTTCTCAGATGCCATCAACAAAAAAGACTTATTTTTGGTTTGAATGTGGTGGGTACATGGCTGGTGTGTACAGCCAGTTAGTTTCCTCCAGCAAGAATCCAGCTCATGTGCTCAGACACTGGTCCATGTGGACAACAGCAGAGGACTGGGGATGATCAGGGGATTGTTAAAAGCGTGCTCCTGATCCAAAACGACTCACTAATGTGGGTGTGCAAACACAGCAGCTCTGTAAGTGGTTACCTTCAGCCTGTGAGTGAAAAATAGCTGGGAATAGCTACTGTCCTGTTGTATCAGTAGAGAAAATATACAAAACTATGCCCACAGTTACAGCAAGATGGTTCATACTAGGACAGTTGCAATGTAACAGCTGATAGCAGGATCTGAACAGACACTGGGGGATGACCTTGTCTGTCCACTAGCCCCAAGACAAGATCACCTGTGCCCCATTGTAGTACATATACAATATATATGTACCTGTACCATTCTAGAGAATTGCCAGAGATGTTCTAAACTCTTCTGAAGACAAAGGTTCCTGAAGCAGTCTACTCCATTACTTACTGATCTTTATAGTGTTGAAAGCTTATTCATAAAGAGAATGTTATCTGTCAAAATATTACCATACTTTTTCCTCTGGCAGTCTAACCAAGATCTTCCCTTTAACTGTTTCCATCTAGAACTGTAGACTCTGATCATCCCTCTTGCTCTTCCTGGAAGTGCTGCTATTATTTACTGATCACAGCTTACAGGTCTTCTGAATGTTACGTGTGTCTTACAAAGGCCATCCCTGTTAATTCAGGATAGCATGAAAAACTAGCCTTTTGCACAGGACTAAACACGAGCAATTGTATATGCACACTTACAGAACAAATACTCTTACACGTAATTAGAAAGAATATGCTGCCAGATAAGCGTTTCATAAGCACCTTTTGCCAGAGCCAAAGACATATGATATACCTGCTAATTTTATCCACTAAGGTGAATAGATGTCATTACATCCGACTCTTATCACATCACTTGTAATTGCACTGTGTTGACGTTTTCATATTCTTCTACATCAGCATTTCAGAATCTTCCCAGCTTAACAGGGTAAGTTAACTTGATGTGTTTCGGTAGTCAGCCAATTATCAGTCCCATACAGCTCAAACAAATAGAACTCAACTCCAGAAAGGTGGTACAGTAGCATTAAGACCTTCCTAATAAATAAATAAACCGTAACTTCTCAATTGCCTAGCATCATGTGTTTCACTCAGCTGTTTACTGATTATTATTAATATGCTGCAAACATTATTTCTTGGGGGATACTTCAGAAGTGAGCAACAAGGGAAATGCCAACTGTCCTTACTGTCAGTCAGGGGGTTAAGGTCGATGTCTGCAACACACAAAAGGCTGAAAAAACCTTTTAGAACAATGCCACTTACTTATCCTCATTACAGACCCTGTATTACAAATCTCAGCTGCTACTTTTATCACGCATTCTTGACACCAAAACAGAAGAAGTGTCCTTCTATGATTTGCTGATCACCCACTGGTTAAAACCATTGTAACAGGCAATTGTTCCAAGACAGAAATAGTTAAGACATAATATAGACACATGGCTTAGAACAGACTGCCAGAAGAAACCAAGAGCTGCTTCTGGAATTGTCTAAACAACTGTTAACTGCCTGGGGCACTTCCTATCTTAATGTAACAACAGTATCCCCAAAACCCTCACCCAATTCTAACTACTATCAGAAAAAAAGGAAAAATAGAAATCTTGCTTGTAGTTTGCAATACCTTTTCATACAACACTGCATAAGAATTGGTGTATTACTGTTGCAACTGCAAAATGGTTTTAGTTTTTTCAGTCACAGTTATCTGCCTGCAGATACCACAATGCATACTGCCTATACAACCTGTTCAGGAAGGCATTTCAAATGCATCAAGTTAAGTTTGGTTGTGCAATTTTTAATCTTAGGTCACATGTACTGTATATTAAATGAAGTAATATAAATAGTTTAGCCTAAAGATGGTTTAACTCCTACTCCTAAATAAACTCCTTCACATTAAATGTGAACTACATTAAAAACCAAGAGATATTTGCTAGAATATTATGATAGGACTCTAAATTAAGGCAGGAGCTCTGCGTAGACCTTCCCTGTAATGAACTCCTTGAAAAAAGAGCAAAGGCTTTGAAATTATATTAAAAAGAAAGATTCTACTATAAGAAAATCCAGCATACATTATTTTAGGTAGAGGAAAATTAATACTGATTATGTCCAAACAAAAAGTAAAAAAACATTTCTACAACTTTTCTCATGCCAGATGTGCTGTTAAAGCTGGAAACTAGCCACCATGCTTGCTTTTAGGTAAGTCACAGACTTCCTTGGACTTCAATAAGCTTTACTCAGTTTCTGACAAAATGAAGTTAGAGTTGGTGAACAGTTTGATAGGTATTTCACAACATACTTTTAGCTAAAAAAAAAAGGACTAAGATTGCTTTAGATTTTTAGTACCTTAGAATAATATTAAAGGTATTCTGTTATATATATTCAACATTAAGGCAATACTGCAATTCGCTTGTTCATCCTGTGGAGATGAAAGGGTGCAAACATCAGGTAAGGATGGCTCAGTGTATATTTGTACGTATGTGTAAGTGTAATAACACAGTGATTAACTGGCTATCATAATACTCATCTGAGTTCAAAATGTATCAAATCTTGTTTTTACTAATAGTGTGGCTTTATTCTTCGTTTTACCACCAAAATAAAGATTGGATCTTTACCCCCAAGGTAATCATAATCTAACAATTGGATTTCCTTCTAATGTTACTCACGCTGAATAGCTCTGGCATACATAAGATGCCCAAATTTTTCAAACAAAATACTGTGCAGAAATCAAACTGGTGAACAAGTTAACGAGAGAAAAGGAACCATCATTAAAGAGTGGTGAGGAAACAGAATCTATGTGAAAGCATGTTTTCCTAATTGTACAGTTTGCTTCACACCATGCTTCATGACTGCAATAAGTGAAAACAAGACTAAGCATAAACAAAAGTTTAACACGGAACAGTAACAAAGAGAACTTCACAAGAGCAGATAAGCAGAAAAGGACAGTTTCAAGTGAAAGCAGAAAACAGAAAAGGAAACAAACGTTGGTATAAAAAGTATGAAAAAAGAAATATTATAAAAGGTAGGAAAAAGGATAAACTAATATTTAAGTTGAAGTACGGCTTTGGAATGAGACTTTCAGGTTTACTTTACCCTCACTTTTATATCTGGTCTGTAACAGAGTAAATTCTTTAAATCAGTGGAATTACTGGTAATATACCATCGATGTGGTGGAATCACTGTCCCCCAGTCACTGTCCCTGGAGATGTTCAGGAAATGTTTGGATGTGGAAGGAACATCCAAACAGGATAAGGAACATGGTTTAGTGGGAAATATTGATAGGTGGACGGTTGGACTGGATGATCTTAGAGATCTTTTCCAGCCTTGATGATTCTGTGATTCCACGTGAAGAGTGCAGAATTTGTCCATAAGTAGTGAAAACAACAACAAAAACATCATGCAGAGATTCAAAGCGGAGTTGCACTTTAGACTGCTATTTAGACAGTTTGCTTAAAGTTGGACATTAAGGGAAGTATTTAAAAATAGTGAAGTCAAAAGATAAAGATGATAATATTTCATATTAAATATATAAACTAGATTGAACACTTCTTTAGATGGTGGAACTGCAAAGCTTGCTAATGTCCTACCTGTTTTTATCCATGGACTTTGATCAATTATTAATCTGGATCTCTTTTTATACCAAAACCTTTTAGTAACTTTCATTATTGAAGTATCAAGACAAGTGAAATTCCATTTTGAATTCAGAATACTACTTTCTACTGCCATATTACCTTGCCAGCAAGCACCGACTGTCAGCTGCATGGCTATGTGTGAAGGGTGAATAGGCCAGTCATTGGTCACAAGGTAAGGTTCATATGTCGTTCCATCCATGTATAAGGTAACAACAGGAAACTCAACATTGACAACATAGTAATGCCATTCTTTATCACAAATCTGAAAAACAGAATGTAAGAGAAAGATTAATTAGCATTTAGTGACTGGTGACTAATTTTGACATCCCATACACTTTTATAATTGTACAATTTCTAAATTGCACTCAGAAAAGAAACAGTTATTGCAATTTATACATTGTTAAAATTAAAGTCTAAAACTATTGTGATAAATGCATATATTATACACAAAATATATTTGGTAAAAAAGGCATTTTAAAGCACACTCTTTGAGAACAAGACATGGCTGAAACAAACAAAAAGACCATTGATTTGCGTTGCATTCTTGCTTTTGTTAATACATAAAATTAATTTCCTAATATCTATATCAACTTTTCAAAATACAAAATTGAATGTAAGAAGTGTGTACTTGGTACGTTTTGGCACTTACTGGAGGTCCCTTTTAGCTTCCATTTAAGAAAATACATAGCACTTAGATTAATTACTATCAACTTTATGATTCACTGACTGTCATTAACTATTGCACTGGTATTTAAAAAGTCCTGTTCATTGCCAGGATTTCTGTTGTGCTCTGTACACACACATATGAACTGAGTTCAAGCAGCCTCAGGCAGGCAACCCAAATCATCCCTGTGCTTCTTGTTTTAGTCTGTTTTTTCCCCCTGATATTCTGCAAAACGAGGATCCATACGGTTTCACTGATATGCATCAGTTTTGAAAAGCAATAGCCACACTGTACTTTCAAGGTGAGAATATCAGTGTCAAAACTCACAAGAATTTCTGAACAGGACAACCAGGGATTACTGCAAGACTGTCACATTTTGTTTGCAAGCTGAATCAGTGCCTCTGCAGACAGAAGCCTAGTGTGCAAATACCAACACTCATCCAACTCTTTTTTTTCCTTTATCTTTCAGATTTAAAAGTTCAAATAAATAAATCACAGCAAATTGGAAGGACAGGCTATGTTTTTAGAAATAAAGCAGTAGTTACAGTCATGCTGCTTTCAGTTCTGCAGAGATACTTGTTCTGATGTATCACGAAACTGAAGTGCTTGAATGCAGATATCCTTGCTGTTTTCATAGATGCAAGCAGAAAAGTGACATTTAAGCATAAAGCTGCCCTTGGCCAGGTTACATCTATTTCCTGCAGTATCTGCCCTTTGGAAGCAAAAGCTAATGTTTTGTTCCAGAAGACACTTGAACAAGAACTTAATAACTTCTATTTCAAATGGATACATTTATTACTGCAGACATCACAGATCCACAGCAAGAGATAAATGCTGCAAAGTGGCTGCTGGAGTCTTCCCGGTGTAAGCAGTAGACAGCACAAATATTTTCTGAAGGTTAAATGAGCTGAAACCAAAATTGAAAGTAAATAAATTGGAAGACTGGAAACTTTATCGAAGAAACAGCAGTTGTGAATATGATATGCAGTTCTGTCTTTCAAGTTAAAACAGCTCACCAAGTGTCCTGACCTGATCATTAGACTGTGATTCATCATAGCCCCACTTGCCAGCCATTTTATATAAAACAAAATAAATGATGTGCCTGAGTTTGAGAGACCTTGTGTGATAAAAACGACAGGGGTTAATATTTCACATTTTTCAGAGAACCACCACACAGCATTTCTTTCTTGTAACCTTAAGCTGCATCGGTTGGAACAAGCCAACCACTATTAAATGAGAGCAAGCAATCCTCATATGTAAGGATAGAGCATTTCAACATGGCTACAACAAACATGTGCGGCCATCATATACATAAAAAGCATTGCAATGTGTAGCTGGTCTGATTATTCTAGTGACTGACCAATAAGGCAGTGACATTTTTCTAGAGAAAATGCTGTCTGGAAACAAGATTGCACAGTCTCCACAATTTAAGAATCCAACGGTGGGTCTCCAGTGGTTCCAAAAAAATGCACACGTCCTGCTGCAAACAGTCCACAGTCAACAAATTACTCACTTTAATTTTTTCTGATACATTTTGGAACATAAGATACAGCAATTACAGACAGCTTGATAAACTCTTCAAACCATTACCTGTGTGTTTGTGAGCTGTTCCTTAAACTGCAACACTTAAATACAAGGTGGTTTTTGTTTTTTTTTTTAAATGAGAATTCAGGCATTTAAAATCTCAGCTTCCTTACTGATTTGAAAAGCACAGAAGCTCCTGGGTTAATAATTCTCATATGACTGCAGTAGAGCTTAGGTACTCAGATACAAAATATAATCCCCTGAACTATCTTCCCAGCATTAAAACAAACTTTCTACAAGATGGCAACAGAATTACTTAAGAAACTCTGGAATACATCACAGCCACTCAACAGCATGTACTATTTTGTATAACCAACAAAATTAGAAATAAATAATTGTGGAGTGCAATTTGTTATGCTATTATTTCAGACATCTTCACCTTGTTAACATAGAATGCCAGTATTTCCCGAGTGCATTCCATCGTAGCAACAGAACGTAATGATGGCAGTGAAGCAATGAAAATAAAATGATAAAATATACTAGCTTGGCAAATAAAGAAATTGTAGACATCTCAAGTAAGAACTTTATTAAAAAAAAAAAAAAAAAAAGTCTAATTTGCAAAGCTTTCCTAATGAGATAAAATTACAGATGAGTAAGCTTGGCTTTTGAAGACTGCTGGATTGCTAAGCTGGTCTAATCACTTCATCGCTTCAGTCTGCCTCTAAACATATTAATCATATCACAGTCAATTAACCATCTTAAAGTCTCAGTGATGACTATAAACCATTACACTGCAATACGGTTTTATGAAATAGAGAAAAACAGATACAAGCCTGTGAAGAAAGTTTCTCAAGACGTGAAAGCTCTCAGTTTTTTTCTCCTTTATATTGGAATGCTTAGGAGTGGACTGAAATCAAACTACTCTGGTCTGAGAAGCACATGACAGTCAGAAAGAGTTCCTCGGTCTGCAAAGCATTTCTTTTATGACTTTGTACATAAGGTCCAGAAATGCACACATGAGAACATGCCCTTTACAGCTCAGAGATGTTTTTTAGTCTTGGTTAGCTTACCTGGGGCATCTGTTTGGCTAGATACAACAGAGAACCTGTACTTCAAGAAGTGCCCCAGTGCCTTGGATCAACAGCAAACATTCACAATCCTCTGAGTGGCTTCCTAAAAGCCTCTTTTGCCAGCTATGTTCAGTAGTCAAGAAGTTCAGCCACACAAAGAGCTGCGTACATCCGGCCTGTGCTACTTACTGCCTGTTTTGGTTTATTCCTTTAGATTTGAGAAAGTTATTAGTTCCATTCCATCTATCAAATGTATGAAGCTTTAATTTAAATTTGTATTCCTTTCATGGAAAGATTAGATAACCTGTATATCATTTTTTATGAGAAATCTGGATAGTCTCAAGAATACAGCAATCTGTGCATTCATTTCAGATCTGCTTCAGATTTTGTATTAGAATCCCAAATTATTTGTTTAATTCAATCATGGCATTCTGTTGCAAACATACTCTAGACATAAATGAGAAAATTAAACAAGCAAACAAAAAAACCCACAAAATGAACAGAATGGAAAATTTGAAAACGCTATAATGCTTTCAACCTAACTTCCCCATTTTTTCCTTGCACTGTCGTTAGGTAGCATCAGCATAGCAGTACATGCTCTGAGTTAACTAAGTTGCATTCTCTGACAGAATTTTCCATGCCAGGTATTTGCAAGCAGCAACAGAGGAACTTATTCACTAGGTTACAGCCTCATTCTTACATTTCTGATATGCTGCCGTCTCATCTGATGTATTTTATTTTTTCACCTACAGCATTTAATCTATTATAGTACCTTCAATACTGACTTACACAGAATAAAAAATGTCACTACTACAGGAGTCTTTGATTTTGTCCTGCCCCTTTCTCAGTTTTGTCTTTGCTAACACATTGCTCACAACCTGGTCAGCTGATTGCCTCAGGACCTTTCACTCACACATGCATTATGCTTAATTCCAGTCTTAACAACAGACTCAAGTTTGAATAGTTTCAAAAGAATCTATTTGCCAAAGCAAATCCTAAGGTAGGTGAGAACATTAGTAGTGCTGTGATGATGCTCATGTTCAAATGCCATTGGAAACGTTAATGGTGCTAGAGAACCTCCTCCAGGGGCCCTAGGTTGTACACTGGGGCTGAAGAAGAGATGAACTGCTGACAGTGACTACTGTGCAAAAAAATTGAAAACAAGGTTAGTTAAAGAGAATGTTGCAGTCATTGCCAACATCTGGGCTGGTGAAACCAATCTGAGATCTGCTTTCATTTCTGTCAGCCTGGAGGTGTTTTAAGTCTGCTAACACAGAACTTAACATATTGAAAGTGAATAAAAGAGAGAAATTGCAAAAGTATTTAGTTTTCCTTCTCCCTTTTTCTTTTCGTGGAGAAATTCTATGCATTATTTCCATTAAACTTTTGGATTAATTAATTCATAATTCTTATCAATGGAGATGACATAAATTGGAAGAAAAAAAAAAAGTGCAATGTTGTTTCTTCACCCTAGCCTTCTGTAACATGAACCATCCTGCTTGAACTGATGAATGCATGCTGAAATGTCACTCAAGGACATACTGGCCACTGAGAACTGTAACTGTCTCTAAGACCACAGAGCACTTGACTAGCTGTCTTTTCTTCATTACAGATGAATTCTGTGTCCCTTCATTAGATTTATTTTCTGCTGTAGTGTTTCAACGACTAAAACATTTTACTTAGATCACTCTACTGGATGAAGCTATTATAATCATTGAAAGCAAAAATCTTACCATTGAGTAATTGCTTTATTGTCAAGGATGTCACTATAGAGTAGATCAGGTCATCATCAGGAAAACTTCGTAAACATGTAGAGCTCACTGAGGCTGTGTATTTTAAACTCATTCCATGAAAGAAGACAACAAATTCAAGGAATCTCCTTTTGATCA